CATTCAGATTTGACAGAGAAATCAAAAGCTTCACTGATAAACAAAAGCTAAAAGATTTCAGCACCACCAACCAGGTTTAAAAAAGTTAAAGGAACTTCTTTAGTCATCAAAGCACAAGAAAAAAGAACAACAACAAAAAAAAGATTTTAAAAAAACCTACAAAAACAAACCCCAAACAATTAACAGAATGGCAATAAGAACATACATATCACTAATAACCTTAAATGTAAATGGATTAAATGCTCCAACCAAAAGACACAGACTGGCTGAATGGATACAAAAATAAGACCCATATATATGCTGTCTACAAGAGACCCACTACAGACATATGCAGGCTGAAAAGTAAAGGGATGGAAAAAGACATTCCAGGCAATCAGAAACCAAAAGGAAGCTGGAGTAGCAATACTTACATCAGACAAAACAGATTTCAAAATAAAGACTCTACAAGAGACAAAGGACACTACATAATGCGTAAGGGATCAATCCAAGAAGAGGATATAACTATTATAAATATATATGCACCCAACATAGGAGCACCTCAGTATATAAGGCAATTGTTAACAGACATAAAAGGAGAAATCCACAATAACACAATAAAATGGGGGAGCTTAACACACCACTTACATCAATAAACAGATCATCCAGACGAAATATGGAAATACAGGCCCTAAATAACATATTAGACCAGATGGACTTAATTGCTATCTGTGAAGCATTCCATCCAAAAGCAACAGAACACACATTCTTCTCAAGTGTACATGGAACATTCTCCAGAATAGACCACATGCTGGCCCACAAAGCTAGCCTCAGTAAATTTAAGAAAATTGACATTGTAGCAAGCATCTTTTCTGACCACAACACTATAAGGTTAGAAATCAACTACAAGAAAAAAACTAAAAACTGCAAGCACATGGGGGCTAAGCAACACGCTACTAAACAACCAATGGATCGCTGAAGAAATTAAAGAGGAAATAAAAAAATCCTTTGAGACAAAAAACAAAAACACAATGATCCAAAATCTCTGGGACACAGCAAAAGCAGCCCTAAGAGGGAAGTTTACAGCAGTACAAGCCTACCTCAGGAAACAAGAAAAAATTCAAGTAAACAACCTAACCTCACATCCAAAGCAGCTAGAGAAAGACGAACAAACAAAATGCAAAGTTAGCAGAAGGAAAGAAATCATAAAGATCAGTGCAGAAATAAATAATGAGACTAAAGAAACAATAGAAAAGATCAATGAAACTAAAAGCTGGTTCTTTGAAAAGATAAACAAAATTGAGTCTGATAAACCTTTAGTCAGACTCATCAAGAAAAAATGGGAGAGGGCCCAAATTAATAAAATCAGAAATGAAAAAGAAATTATAAATGACACCACAGAAATACAAGGGATCATAAGAGGCTACTATGAGCAACTATACACCAACAAAAAGGACAACATAGAAGAAATGGACAATTTCTTAGGAAGATACAATTTGCCAAGACTGAACCAGAAAGAAATAGACAATATGAACAGACCAATTACTAGTACTGAAATTGAAACAATAATTTAAAAACTCCCAACAAACAAAAGCCCAGGACCAGAAGGCTTCACAAGTGAATCTACCAAGCATTAGAGAAGATTTGACACCTATCCTGAAAATATTCCAAATATTGCCAAGGAAGGAACACTTCCAGACTCATTCTATGAGGCCATCATCACCCTGATACCAAAACCAGAAAAAGATATCACAAAAAAAGAAAACTACAGGCCAATATAACTTAAGGATATAGATGCAAAAATCCTCAACAAAATACTAGCAAATCGACTCCAACAATGCAGTAAAATACACTATGATCACGTGGGATTTACACCAGGGTTGCACAATGATTTCTCAATATCTGCAAATCAATCAGTGTGATACACCACATTAACAAATTGAATAAAAAAACATATGATCATCTCAATAGATGCAGAAAAAGCTTTTAATAAAATTCAACATCCATTTATGATAAAAACTCTCCAGAAAGTGGGCACAGATGGAACACACCTCAATATAATAAAGGCCATATATGACAAACCCACAGCTAACATCATACTTAATGGGGAAAAGCTGAAAGCACTTCCTCTAAGATCAGGAACAAGATAAGGATGCCCATTCTCACCACTTTTATTCAACATAGTTTTGGAAGTCCTAGCCATAATAAACAGAGAAGAAAATTAAAAGGAATCAAAATTGGAAACAAAGAATTAAAACTGTCACTGTTTGCAGATGACATGATACTACACATAGAAACCAGAAAACTACTAGAATTCATCAATGAACTTGGTAAAGTTTCAGGTACAAAATTAATATACAGAAATCAGTTGTATTTCTATACACAAACAATGAAACAGCTGAAAAAGAAATTAAGGAAACAATACCATTTACCATCACACCAAAAAGAATAAAATACCCAGGAATAAACCTACCCAAGGAAGCAAAAGACCTGTACTCGAAAACTATAAGACACTGATGAAAGAAACTGAAGATGACATAAACAAATGGAAAGATATACTGTTCTTGGATTGGAAGAATCAATATTGTTAAAATGGCCATACTGCCCATAAAAGGCAACATACAAATTCAATGCAATCCCTATCAAATTACCAATGACATTCTTCACAGAGCTGGAACAAACAAGAATGTTAAAAATTTGTATGGAAACACTAGAACCTCGAATAGCCAAAACAATCTTGAAAAAGAATGGAGCTGGGAGAATCAAGCTCCCTGACTTCAGACTATACTACAAAGCTACAGTAATCAAACAGTATGGTACTGGCACAAAAACAGACACATAAATCAATGGAACAGTATAGAAAGTCCAGAAATAAACCCATGCACTTATGGTCAGTTAGTCTACAACAAAGGAGGCAAGACTATACAACAGAGAAAAGACAGTCTCTTCAACAAGTAGTGCTGGGAAAACTGGACAGCTACCTGTAAAAGACTAAAATTAGAACATTCTCTAACACTATGTAGAAAAATAAACTCAAAATGGATTAAAGACCTAAATGTAAGACCAGATACTATAAAACTCCTAGAGGAAAACTTAGGCAGAACACTCTTGGACATAAATCACAGCAATATGTTTTTTCAACCAGCTCCTGGAGTATTGGAAATGAAAGCAAAAATAAACAAATACGATCAAATTAAACTTAAAAGCTTCTGCGCAGCTAAGGATACCATCAACAAAATGAAAAGACAACCTACAGAATGGGAGAAAATACTTGCAAATGATGCAAAAGACAAGGGACTAATTTCCAAAATACACAAACAGCTCATACACCTTATTAACAAAAAAAAAGCAACCCAACAAAAATGGGTAGAAGACCTAAACAGACATTTCTCTGAAGACAGACAGATGGCCAACAAGCACATGAAAAGATGCTCAACATCGCTAATTGTTAGAGAGATGCAAATCAAAACTACAATGAGATATCACTTCATACCAGTCAGAATGTGCATCATTAAAAAGTTTACAATTAATAAATGCTGGAGAAGGGGTGGAGAAAAAGCAACTCTCCTACACTGTTGGTGGGAATGTAAATTGGTGCAGCCACTATGGAGGACAGTATGGAGGTTCCTTAGAAAACTAAAAATAAACTTACCATATGATCTGGCAATCCCACTCCTCGGCATATACCCAGAGAAAAATATAATTCAAAAAGATACATGCACCCCAGTGTTCACAGCAGCACTAAGTACAATAGCCAAGAAATGGAAACAACCCAAATGTCCATCAACAGAAGACTGGATAAAGAAGATATGGCTTGTATATGTGCGTACACGTGTGTACACACACACACACACAGGAATACTACTGAGCCACAAAAAAGGAATAAAATAATGCCATTTGCAGCAACACGTATGGACCCGGAGATCATCATCCTAGGTGAAGTAAGGCAGAAAGAAAAATGCCATATGATATCGAAGACACAAATGAGCTACCTATTTATAACTTAGATGATTGACTTCTTGAATATGTGTTAGCTCATTTGACTGTCCTTTATGATTGGATTACTGCATTCTGTTGATTATTTTGTGGTTGGCTTTATTCCTTTGGTAACTATGTAAGTTTAAAAAGCTAAAGCTCTAAACTCTTCTTTGAAACAGTAAACAGTATATATGTGTAAATTTTTAAATGATTTTATCTCTCAATGAGTTGCTCTTCCTAGAATAAATTTTGTTTAAAAAGAAAAGAAATGTGGATATTTAAAGATTAAAAAAAAAAGTAGGAAGTTTTCCATTTGCAACAATATAGATGAACCCACAGGACAGTCTGTTAAGGGAAATAAGTGAGACTCAGAAAGACAAATACCACATGACCTCACTTACAAGTGGAATCATAGAAGCAGAGAGTGGAACAGTGGTTGCCGGGGGCTAGGAGGAAGGCGAAATGGGGAGAAGCTGGTCAAGGAGTATGAACTCTCAGCTACGCAGGAGGAGTAAGTTCTGGAGAGCTAATGTACAGGAAGTGTTTTCCAAACTTATTTTCAGCTGCAGAAGGGGTCTCACCAGTCACCTGCAGCACTTTTGTGCTGACAATTATTTCCTTTTCTCCTTTATTCTGTCAATGTGGAGAATTTCATTGATCCATTTTTCTAATCTTAACACTGCATTCCTGGTATAAACCCAACTTCATTATTATATTACAATATTACGTGTGGCTTTCAACGAGTGGTCCCCCAGCTGGCAGCATCAGCACCACCTGGGAACTTGTTAGAAATGCAACTTCTCAGCCACCCCAGACCTTCTGAATCCTAAGCTGTCAGGGCGGGGTCCAGTGTTTTGCCTGTGTTCTACCAAGCCTCTCTGATGACCCTGATGCTCTGTTGATAGATGCCCATGTCTGCGAGCCCCGCTGGTAGAGAGATGCTGATTCTCCTCTTACCTTCCCCACGTGGGTGTGGTATCATTTGGCCCATGAGCTCTACCATAAGGCCCATAGTGAGACCAGGAGGAGGCAGCAGAAAGACTCACCACGTGTCTGTTTTAGATGTAAATATTCCTTCCATGAAAGCCTCTGGGGGCATCCATTTGACCGGCAGCATCGCACAGCCTCCCTTCCTGTAGTAGCTTGCTCTGCGGGGAGAAGAGAAAACCAGGCTTGGTTCTGGAGATGGCTCTGAGCGGAAGCTCAGCCAGGTAACTTGTGAGAGTGGTGACAGCAAGGTCTGCCTGTTAATAAACTGAAATTAATGAGGGGCTCTCGTGATTCAGAAGGAGAGCAGGGACACGGATCATTTAGTTAGCAACCTGAGTGTCATTTGATAGAAGACAAAAGAGCCCGCTGGAGGCGGGAAAGAAAAGACCTATGCAATGACTAAAATACCCACTAGCAGATGGTTTGATTTCCCTGATGGGTTTTGTTCATTATAACTCACAATGAATAACATTACCCCAACCTTATGAGTGCTGATGTTCCTGATGATCCACAGGAACACTAGATGCAAAATGGGAGAACTGAGAGCAGGCCGGTGTCTCCCTCAAGGGGGTCCTCCATGGCCTCACACCATGGCTAACTGAACACAGGCGCTTGGCGAATACTCCAGGCAGCTGGTGGGAAGCTGCCTCCCACAGCACAGCCCCGAGGAGAACACAGGGCTAGTGGGGAGCTGGCTTCAGAGGTATGAGTTAACTTACTAGTTTTGGTCAGCGATGTTATTAGCGCAGCTCACTGATAGAAAGCTTATGAATTAATTGATACCTCTGAAGCCACCATCACCCCTGCCCTGTGTCCTCCTGCCGGGTAGGTGATCGGAGGCACCCCCAGCCCCAGCTGCCTAGATTAATTAATTACTTCAACAAACATGAACTGAGTATTTAGTATGTGTCACGTACCCTGCTGCATGCTGAGGACACAAGTAAGGATATGGTTCAGTGGAAGAAACAATGGCAGTACAGCACAACACGTGATGATGTAGGTATGTACGAAACTCAGTGACCAAAGAACGGATTTGTTCTACCCAAGGTGGGGGTAAGGTACAGGGACAGCTTCATGGAGGGCATTGATGGAGCTGACTGGCCAAGAAGCTCTCAGAGAGGACCATTCCTGACACATGGGATTGCATGGGACATGTGGGAACTGAGGGACTAGGTAAGTGAGGGTGGTGAAGCCTAGAGTTAGGAACTGTCTGAGCTGAGAATGGAGAGGAAGGGGCCAATCACTGAGGGCTCGCTGAAGTCACATTTGTATCTTACAGCACAGGCACTCCCGGGGGCTCTGAGAAGGCACAGCAGGAACACTGGGACTCTGGGTAGTAAAAGAAAGCAAAGTGGAACATCACCAGTGTAATGCAGTGGAGACCAGTGGTGGATGACTGCAGCTGAAGACATTGCTAACTCACAATCTTCCATGCGCTGCTACCCTGTGGTGCCAGGATACCATCAGCATTCTCACCCCATGGGGATTGCTACCAGCTCTGTGGGCAGCCTTCAAAGGGCTCCCTTCTTCTCCAAAGAGAGGAAGGTCTGCGTGACCATCTTTCCTCACTCTACCCCGGATTAGGGAAGGTGTAATTAGTGACCATGCGAGGGAGCGACCTGCTCAGTTCATGGAGCGAGTCCCTACTGTAAATAATTAGACAAAGAAGAAACCAGGGGTTGGGAAGAGAAGAGTGAGATAAAATACAATAGGCGTGGGGTTTTTTTAATTAAAATTTTAATTTTAGTTTTTAATGTAGCTTTGAGAATATGACAAGGAAAAATAAATGAAACTGAGCTAAGTACTTTGCTTAGCTTAGGACTCTGACCTCTAGTCTCTTGTCTCCCGGCAGAAATGGGAAAAGAGCAGTGAGCAGGGCCCGGTTTCCTGCCAGTTCTAGGTGCTCTTGCTGGGGGTCATGGAAGCTCAGGCTGCTTAGAATTCCTGGGCATGGAGGAAAGGGGTTAAGTAATTAAAGTTTACTTAGAAACTTTTCTCATATCAAGTATCTGGGTTATTCTGTGTCCCAGAACATGCCGGGATTAAAGACTTGGAACCAGAAAGACAACGTAACAGCTTAGTGTCAGTTACTGAGGCAGCGTGGTCCTAGCATCAGCCTTTCAGGCATAAGCAATAATTAAGGTTTCCTGTGTCCTGAAAAGGAACTTAGTGACATTTAGGTGGCAAGTTGACAAGGCACCAGAGACGACTCGTCCCGTTCTCTTGAGGGGATGAGGTTGAGGAGGTGCGCTCTGATGGGTGCTGGCGGTCCTTACTCACCTGTAGATGTCTCGGGCCATCCCGAAGTCTCCAATCTTGGCCACTCTCCCAGGGCCTGGACAGGTCAAGAGGCAGTTCCTGGCAGCAATGTCCCTGGGAAGGAAAAAATGAGAGAATGTACTTCCTAATTTTATTCCTGGGAAGATAATATCTAATATTTATCACAAGTTTTTCCACCTCCAACCTGAAGTTCAAACAGTTCTCCTTTCTACCCTGTATTTCCTTTACTACACTACACTTCAGTATGAAAGAATTAGCCACAGCAAATCTAGGCCTCAGAACTAACAGGAAATAGAAAAGGATTAGTGGAGATGACTGAAAATGTTTAGTGGGGTAATAATAATGAAAATAACTATAATAGGAACTAGGAAATGTACTGGCCTTTTACCGTGTACTAAGCATTGCTCTGAATGCTTCATATCTAATTCTCACAACCCTATAAGGAACAAGGTGCTATTATTACCCTGATTTTATTAAAAAACTTAAGCTAAAATAAGACAATAAAGGGACAGAAGAAATGTATTTGGCTTTAGGCTACTGTTCTGTACAGATTGCTGGCTGCTTTCTGCGGTTGTTTGAAGGCGTGTTCTGGAACAGTATGATTTCCATGATCTAATTCAAGTAGGACAAGGTATTCCCAAATATTTCTGGTTCTATTTTTTACTCAGCCGTATGGTTCTTACATCCATGATTTTATCTAAAGCCTTTGCTAGGCTGTAGGCATCATGGCTACGTGGCTGAAGAATCACTTCTGTCGAGCTATGAAGTTATTGTGTATTCTTTGTTGTTCGACTCCAGATGGCCTGTTTTCCGGTAGCACGCCTGTACAGTATGATCAGAAGCCTTCCAAGAGTCATCAGCTTCTACTTGCTAACTGCTAACCCATTTCTGACATGCATGTGGGAACAAAGGATGCGTCAGAAGAAGTGTGGAATGGGTCTCTAATAATACTATTAATTCCTGGACAGAAAAAAGTACTACTTGGTGGTGTTTTCATATTTTCAACTGGTTTCATGAAGGTCCTGATCTTTGGTCAAGAAAGAAGGACATGGAAAATAAACAACTGGATTGTACTAAACACAGGACCTGGCTAGGGGGTCATGGCTTAGGATGCCAGAACAGTGGGTCAGGGTGGGAGATGGAAGCTGTTAGTGCCACTGTCTTCATCCAGAAGGTTTAAATTGACTTTTGAGGCACAATGGTGCATAAATGCCCTAATAAAACCATGAAAGCATAACATACACGACATCAAAAAGAAGAAAAATAGTGGGATATATAGCCAGTGCATCTCAAGAGAAATACAGTGAGGGAGACCAGGAATAGTATGTATGGCTCTGGAAATGTCTTTCGTTGATGTGCATGGAATGGCTGCTTAAAAAAGTGATCTTGAATTTAATGGCAAGAAAGTAATGTAGTATCAGAGACCAATCCAAGAATTGGCGGCATGACACATATTTCTTGAAATGGCAATAAACCATGTCCAAAGGAAACAGATCTAACAGAAAAATGGGTGTGTGGATCTGATGGGGAGTTCCACTCTGAATTCAGGAGGTGCGTGCATGGGAGTCTGTGACTCTTAAGGCAGATGTGGGCTAGAGGAGGGGAATAATGAAGTCACCTGTCGTGGGGGTGCGCCGCAGACCTCACAGCCAGTTAGAGATGTAAAAGGTGCTTTCCTAAAACCGGTCAGCCCAGAGGAAAAGCTCTGATTGAGATGGACAATTTCTCCTAATAGTTGCCTTTTGCTTATAAAGCAGATCATCTGATACATTCTTGATTTAATCTTTGACAACCTCATTTCTCAAAAAAGATTAAAGGAGCAACAAACTATTACTGTGGAATCTAATTCCGGCCTTTGGTGACTATTCACAGATTTGGAGTGACAGAAATCTTGAGAGCATGTGATCCTTTATCCATCCTGTTATCTTTTTATCTCCAGTAACAGAGCACTGGATATAGTAAAAATGTATCATGCCTCTAGGAAAGCAGATTTTAAAAAGTCAGAGGAAAGATGGATCTGATCCTCAGCCAGAGAATCGGGATGCTTGGTGACTACTAACGTAGTAGTACGTTACTACGTATAAAACGTAGTAATGATCTCAGAAAAAGTAGAAACGACCTCAGGGAGAAGTGAAAGGAGAGATCCCAAGTTACCAAGGTGACCAAACGGGGTGCTCTCAGGTGAGCCCTGACTTAGGGGATGTAGACAAAAGATGGAAAGCGGCTCTAACCACGGACTAATTCCAAAAACAGCACACCCTTGTCATGTCTGAGCAACAATAAAGCCCAGAGCTGAGATTTTTGGAAGGTTCTGGACACAGCAAAAAGGGCAAGAGCAGCAGTGGCAGGGCTGACCCCACTTTGACGCAGAGTGGCTTTGGGTGAGAACATAAAGAACTGGGCCCGACTTTGCTTTTACTCATTTCTCTCAAGCACCGTGACCTGTGAGCTGGGACGGTTTAGAATCAAGAGGGCGATCTGAAGACCGAAACGAAGTGACAGCCAAAGGAGGAGCCCATGTGAGCTCACGGCCTGGGTTTAGGAATGGTTTGGGGAAGCTGGGCCAGTGTATTTCTTGATCTTTAGCTTCTTCATTTTTATTGGGGAGGAAAGCATAACTTGTCATCTGCTTCTACGCTTTTCTATCCCTGAAACTCATACAGCTTCCCTCATTTTCTACATTGTATTTACACATTCTAATTATTAGGAACATGTCTTACACTCTTTAAAGACGGGTTAATAAATGCTTACTAGTTCACCAGGTTGTTATTGACTAAATTGGGAGCAAATCATTAGGAAGAGCTTTGCAAAGAGCCTAACAATCTATTTGACTTTACAAAGTCATCGACAGCCACATGGAAATACGTGTCATCTCTAATGTCTCTAGCATTACACGTGAACTTGATGTCCCAGTCCAAACACCATTTAAATACAAGATCATATAGAGTGGAAGAAATGAAGTACAGAGGTTAAAAAAAATCAATATTCTTCATTTCAGAGTAGTTTAGAAAAAAATAATTTATCCAATAAATACTTACTGTGCCGCTCTATCCATCAGGGATCTGAAGATAAATAAAATAGGGTCCTTGCCTTCGAGTCACCCATAGTCAGGTATGTGAAAATATAAACTACTTAAGCTTCCCTTAAGGAGCCCAGTCTTCTAGAAGAGGGAAATGTTAATATAATGTAGGACTTGAAAGCTCCCCTGCCAGACACAGGCAGCAGCCCCTGCAGGGGGTCGGGAAGCGCTCCCCTGGGTCTCCGGCGCTGGTCTGGATGTTTTATGATGCCCGCTTTACACGTGGGGCAGAGGAAGCCCTGACATAGTAATCATCTTAGAGACGAACAAGCTGAACCATCCCAATAGCTCAAGAGAGACCTATTGTTCTGCTCTGAAGGGGAGAGCTGGGACTTTGAGACATGGGGCAAAGCATCACACAGAAGGCGAGGGAAGAGCAGGGTGACCCAGACTTACCGGTGGATGAAGTGGTTCTCCTCTAAGTACTGACAGCCACAGGCGATGTCCTGAGCCACGTGCAGCAGGTCCAGCATGGCCAGGGAGGAGGGCTGACTCTGCAGGGAGACACAAGTGACCAGCTGATGAGACGCTCTTGGGGGAGAGAAGACCTGAAACACCAGCTCCCAGTGCTGGCCAGTGGGGCAGACATGGGCATGCCGTCCCTGGGGTCTTGGCCCTGGCTGCACACTGGAAATCACCTGGCGGCTTTAAACAAATGCAGATCCCTGGGCCTCAGGCCAGACCAATGAGTCCACTTCTGCGCATGGGTGCAGCGTCTGCAGGGTGCTCACCTGTAGCTCCCGGGAGAGTGCAGTGTGCAGCGGGTTGAGAACCCCAACCGCAGGAGCCAGGATGGGGTGGGGGGGTGGGTAGCAGAGGAAGATGCTCCCCCCCAACACTTATTCTGCCCATTCCTCCACCTCAACCTTCATAAACATTTGAAGATGTATAAATGAGCCCCAAACACATACCCCCAAATGTATAAACAATATAAACAAGCCTATGAGGAAATCAAGGGGGACAATGTGTTAAAAATGCTCTATTTAAATGTTTAAAAATATTTTTAAAAATTTGTTTTCTTCAAGAAGACCTAGACCTGAAGTGGACTGAAAAAGGAAAATGCTGGGCAGTTGAAGAGCCCCCTCCAGCTTTTCCACACTGTCTTTTTTGAGCAGAAAGCCATCCCCCAACTCTGGCACACAGCCCGCCTGGCAGCCCGCCTGGCTTCCGCAGCACAGCCGGGTTGAGCCCGGGGAAGTCTTCTCTGAGGGCTGCGTTAACCCTGAAATACCTGCGTCTGCAGCAGCGCGAGCTCGTGCAGGGTCACATTCACCATGCTGTTCGGCGCTGATTATACCACGTCTCCAAGTGAACCCCGAGGCCCCCGAGGCAGGGCCTTCAGCACCCACTCCCAGGGTCTGCAGCATGATGCTTAGCATGCTGCCGTGGCTCAGTGAACACTGGGGCCTCCGGGGACTGATCTCAGCTGAACTAGGGTTCACCCAGATGCCTGTGGAGTTTTCTCTACCACCGATCAGGACGGCCCTGAGACTCCCTGCAACAAGAGCATGGATCTAGGGGAGGCGGAGAGGAGTCATGCTTGTCTAGAGCACGCTCAGTTCTGGGGGAGACAACTTAGGGAGAGAGATAGCCTCTGCCCATGGAACATCAGGCAGTGCCTTACGTGCAATAGAGCAAGTCCAAGTACATGATCTCCACTGATGCAACATCCTGTGTGGTCAGTAGGGAAGAGAGGTTATCTTCATATTAAAGATGAGAAGGCTGAGGGCTCGGAGATGCTAAGTGACTCACTCCAGGTCACACAGCTAAGAGCGGGGAGCCCAACCTGCCCTGAGCTAGGCTTTAAGGACCTGGGTTGGGGGAGGCAGGCTTCTAGGAGTTAAATTTGAACTTCTTGGGAGAACCTGTCAGAGAAGGGCCAGCAAATCCATGGACCCAAGTGAATAAGATACAGCACACAGATGCTGTGAGAGCACTTTTCAGTGGTCTGTTGAGCTGAGCTGAGCTGGGCTTCATCCTGCTGGTCCCTTACTAGCTGTGTGACCTGGGACTGACTGTTTTGCCTCTGTCAAAGCTGTAGTGTCCTCATCTGGGAAAGGGGCTTTAGACTATCAGCCTCACTGGATTGTTATGAGGACCCACAGAAATGTTACCAAGCTCAAGTTCGTGTGCCCGACTCTGAAGCTTTGGAGTTTGGAGCAGAGAAAGGTTTATTGCTGGGCTGAGCTGGGAGAACTGAGGATGTCTCATGCCCCTCAGACCCCGAACTCTCCAAAGGGTTTCAGCTGAGCATTTTTAAAGACCAGCTGAGAGAAGGGCAAACCAGGGTATGTGATCAGCTGTGCACAATGTGTGTGTCTGACTGATGGTGATCAATCCTTTGGCACCAGGAGGTCTGGGGGCTATGTGCTCATGATCATTAAGTAGTTAATTTCTTCCACTTGGTGGTGTTTTTTTTAACATCTGAAAAACTCAGGAAACATGCATGAGATACTATTCTCTGGGTACTTCAGAGAGGTACAACAGAGGATATGGGGGAAGGGGTCTGTCCTGGGAAGGCCCCATAGGGTCTTGCTTGGTTACAGTCTGCCCCTCTTTTTTTTGATACTCCTCAATCTTGAAGAAAACAGGTGTTGGACAAGAAGAGGAATATTCTGGACAGAGAGGTTAATCATCAGCTTGGCAGAGGAATTAGATTTCAGTCTCCAGTCCTATTTCATTCCTCCCCAGATCTTTCAGGGAATGGGGCAGAGACTGCTCTGGCAAGTTCCTGCTGAAACAGGTCATAGTCCTACCTTGATTTGGGAAATGGACACCGAGTTGGAAATATACCCGAGTTCCAAGTCCTGGATTCAAGTCTTGCATGATTAAGAACCCATTCCCTGAGGAATTTAGGAGAATAAGCCTGAAAACCAGTCTGGACCTGGCATTCTGGGGGAGACTTGTAGCCAGCTGTCTACTTTTATCTGAATAGGTCTTAACTTTTGATGCAGTATTAACATATATATAACAGGAGCTACTGGCCACTACATGTCTCCCTTTTCCTGCTAATATCTGACCCAAAACAATTTTATTGTCTAAAAATTTAAGTTACAAGAGGAGAACTTGAGGTCACAAGGTTACAGCTGCCATCTGCCAGCAGACACTGCTTTGAGAATGGCCAGTGGCATCCTTAGTATGACACAGCTCAGAAAATTTGAGTTCAACAATACAGGAATGTGTCTTAAATCACATCTACAATGGCCACCTAGTTTTACCTTAGATGTCTGAACCACAGCTACTCCATTTTGACTTTCAAATGCATTCCGCTCCTCAAGACCAAAGCAGATGTATAATGCATGCCCGAAAGGCCATAAAACAGGCCATTTTGGTCAGTAAAGTTTCAGTCAAACTGTGAAGGAAAAGCCGGGCTGGTCTAACAAGATAACTCACAAGTCTAGGAATGTGAAGGAGAGGCTGGGCTGGTCTAACAAGATACCTCACAATCTAAGTATCGGAATACTGATCTGAGTTCTGCTGGACTAACTTGTAAATCTAAGTTAATTAGCGTTGGTTTGCTGTTCATGTTTTTTTGCTAGCCAGCTGGATTTTCAAAGATATATATCTGGCTTTGGAATGTTGGTTTGCTGCCTCCCTGCCTCCACTTTTGTGATAATGATGCTGCTAAAGCTGTTCCATGCCTATTGGCTGAATACCCCAAGCTTGTACTTTACCCTATAAAACCTCATGCACACGTCTTGGAGGTGCTCAGAGCTTCGGAGCAGAAGCCCCTCTGAGCCTGCGGTGTAATACATCTGAGTACTCCAGCCCTCCGGGTGGTGCTTGTTTCTTGGCTGGCCTGTCATTTCTGTAACAAAACCATGTACAAGCCAGAATGACTTCCCCACACCTCAATATGTGCAGATTTTCCCATCATTTCCCCTTTGGATTGCAAATCTTTCAACAGAAAGTATTGATGATCAAAATATCTGTCCCTGGATGCTGGGGTGGTGGCTCCTGACCCAAATTTAGATCATGTCCCTGGGTGCTAGGCCTCCTTTATGTTTGCCTAGTTATCTACATTGGGGGAAAACTAATCAGATATCGTGAACAAGCTCAGAGGTATGTTAATGGAGAAACACATTATAGGCCAAACACTTTATCACTTACACCCAGTTGTTACACAAGCATTGTACACATGCTTTTAGCAATGAACTTAAAGCAAGCATTGAGTAGTTATACTCTGTGACAACCCCATTAGAGAGTTCTCTTTCTGTTCTGAACAGTGGCGGCAACAGTGTGGTTAAAAGTAAAACAGTAACTTTCAATATTGATAGGGAAACAAACATTTGATAAACAGTTCAATTTAAAAAAACATAGATTAAAAGCCAGCAATATTCCAGACAAAACCAAAAGACTAGAAACACATTCATTAGTCCCCCTAACCCTTCTACCAATCAATAGTCTCATGAAATCAAGAGTTTTCATTAGACTTCAAATATCCTACTGTGAACGAAAACACTGCAATGTGAGTGAAAATACTGCAAACATATCAGTAAACAAAGAATGTTGAAACCAAGTCATCAGTGGCTGCCGCCACCCCCCAGTGGGGACAGGCCTGCAGCCCAGCCTCTGCAGCCACTCACAATGGTGCCCTCTGAGTGGACTCAGAATAAGAAAGAACAGGAT